AATGAAAGTTTACAGAGACTTTGGATTTCCATTCATTCATTCATTGTTGAACACTTGCCTCCCTGCCCACCTCTCCACCTAGTTCTCTTTTCTCTTTGAAAAGTAAAAAAAAAAATTATTTCATTGGTATACAACCCCCCCCCCAGCCCTCTAGTCGACTCCACTGTGCAGGTTTCATTCTGGACTCTTGTCATTTCAATAATACCTAATCATATATTCCTTTTAAACAGGTCTCTCCTTCATCTGTTTCAATGCAGGATACATTATTTATCCCCTTTTGTTAGATTCCACTCAATCTCGATGTCAGTCCTGCTTTACAACAGTGACATGCAGTATTTGTCCTTTTGTGACTGAGATATTTCATTCTACATAATGTCCTCCAGGGTCATCCATTTTATAAAATAATTCATGAGTTCCTTGTTTTTCAATGCAGCATAGTATTTCCTTCTGTGAATGTACCACAGCTTCTCTATCCATTTGTTTGTTGATGGGCACTTAGGTTGTTTCTAACTCTTTGCTATTGTGATCAAAGCCACAATAAACATGGGTTTGCATATTTCTGTCTGGGTGGCAGTTATGGTTTCTTTAGGGTATATTCCCAATAGTGGAATTTCTGGGTCAAATGTTATTTCTAGTTGCAACTTTTTGAGAAAGAGCCATACTACCTTCCATAGGGGTTGCACCATTTTACACTCCCACCAACAATGAATAAGGGTACCAGTTTCTCCACAACCTTGCCAACATTTGTTGTTTGCTGTTCTTTTAAATATGGCTATTCTTACTGGGGTGAGATGATATCTCACAGTTGTTAGGATTTGCAACTTTCTTAGAGCTAGGGATTTTTACTATTTCTTCATGTGTTTGTTGGCCATCTGAATGTCTTCTTTGGTGAAATGTCTGTTCATATCCTGTACCCATTTTTCAAATGGGTTGTTTTCCTTTATCTTGTTGTGATGCTCAAGTATTTTATAAATTCTAGATATAAGTCCCTTATCTGACATGTCATTACCAAGTATTTTTTTTTCCAGTCTGTGGCATCCCTTTTTACCCTATCGGAGATGTTTTTGGATGTTCATAGAGATTTTATTCTTAGAAGATCCCATTCAGTTATTTTATCTTCTCCTGGTTTTAGGATTTTCAGGATGCTTGAAAGACTGTTTAAGTTGTAGATTAGGACTTCTAGAGTTATTCCAAGCTTTGCTCTAATGAAGTTTCTCTAATGAAGATTTTAATCCTAGGTTCATGATCCACTTTGAATTGGTTTTCGTATATGGAGTAAGGTGTGGATCTTGCTTGAGTTTTCTGCAGATAGTTTTCCAATTTTGCCAGCACCATTTGTTAAAAAGGCTGTCATTTCCCCACTTAACTGATTTCATATCCTTGTCAATAATCAGTGGACAGATTTCCAGGTTCTCAATTCTATTTCATTGATCTATGTGCCTGTCATTGTATCAGTACCACTTTCTTGACCACCACAGGAGTGTAGTGGGATTTTAAACTGGGGAGTGAAATGCCTCTTACCTTGTTTCTTTTTTTAAGAAGTGCTTTGCTTATTTGGGCCTCTTTCCATTCCAGATGAAATTGGAGATTGCCTTTTCCATCTTGTTGAAGAATGGAATTGGTATTTGTATTGGGATTGCACTGAATGTGTAAATTGCTTTTGGTAGTACTGTCATTTTTACAATTCTGAGTCTTGCTATCCATGTGCAAGGTATATTCTTCCATTTCTTATGGTCTCTTTTTGTTTGTTGTATTAATGTTTTGTAATTTTCTTTGGATAGCTCCTTTGTACTGCTAGTTAAATTTACTCTCAAGCATTTAATCTTGTCATTAGCTATTCTGAAAAGTATTCTTCTTCTGAGCTGCAGTTCTATATTCTCTTATTCACTGTAGAGAAATCCAATTGATTTTTGTATGTTGATCTTGTATCCTGCCACTTTGCTGAATTGGTCAACCATGTCCAGTAGTTTTCTTGCTGAGTCTTTAGGGTTTTCTAAGTATACTATCATATATCATCTGCATATAGAGATATTTTACCTCCTCATTGTCAATTTAGATACCTCTTATTTGCTTTTCTTGTCTTATGTCTATCGCTAAGACTTCCAATACAATATTGAATAGGAGAGGTGATAGTGGGCATCCTTGCCTAGTTCCTGTTCTTAAAGGGAATGTTATCTCTCCAACTCTCAGGTTGGCATGTATACTTTTTACTATGTTGAAGAAATTCTCCTCTAATCCTATTTTGTTGAGTGTTTTAATCAGGAAAGAGTGTTAGCTTTTGTCAAAGGCTTGTTCTGCATCAACTGATGGGATCATGTGGTTCTTGTTTTTTTTTTAATGTGATTAATTACACTGATTGTTTTTCTTATGTTGAACCATCTTGTTATGAATCCCACTTGGTCATTGTGAATTTTTTTTTTTTGATGTATTGTTGGATTCTATTGGCCAGCCTTTTATTCAGGATTTTTGCATCTATGTTCATGAGAGATTATTGGCCTACAGTTTTCTATTTTGATGGTGTCTTTACCTGGCTTTGGAATTAAGGATATGTTTGCTTCATAGAATAAATCTGGGAATATTCTATCTTTTTCTATTTTCTGAAATAGTTTATGTAGAATTGGTGAGAGTTCTTTGAATGTTTGATGAAATTCACTTGTAATACCTTCTAGTCCAGGGCTGTTTTTGGCTGGAAGTTGTTTTATTACTTTTTCTATTTCTTCTTTTGTAATGAATTTGGGTTTGTGTCAGTTTAGGTAAGTTGTGCATTTCTAAGTATTTGTCCATTTCTTTTAGGTTTTCATATTTGTTTGAGTATAGTTTTCCATAATATTCCAATGTTAGCCTTTAAATTTTAGTTGGATCTATTGTGACATTGCCCATTTCATCTTTTATTTAGATTATTTGTGTCTTTTCCTTTGTTAGTTTTGCTAGTGGTTTGTTGATTTTATTGATCTCTTCAAAGAACCAACTCCTAGTTTTCTTGATGGTTTCATTTGTTTTTCTATCTTCTATTTCATTTATTTCTGCCCTAATTTTTGTAATTTTAGTGTTTTTAGAGGGTGTCAGTTTTTCTTACTGTTCTTTTTCAATTTGTTGGAGATTTTGGGTTAGAGAGTCAGTGATAATTTTCTTTTCCTGCCTTTTGATGTGTTTGCTTATTGCTATAAATTGACCTCTGATTACTGCTTTGGCTGTTTCCCAGAGGTTTTGGTAAGTGGTGTTGTCATTGTCATTTGTTTCAAGAAACTTTTTTATTTCATTTTTTATTTCTTCTAGTACCCATTCATGTTCAAGCATTCATGCTCAGCTTCCAAATGTATGTTTTCCTCCTTTATCCTGTTATTATTAGCTTCTAATTTTGTAGCATTGTGGTCTGAGAAGATGCTTTGTATTATTTCTATGTTTATTTATTTATTGATGCTTGCCTTGTGACCTATTCTGGAGAACGTTTCATGCATATTGGAGAAGGTGTGCTGTGCTTTTTGGGTGTATTAGCCTATATATATCTATATCTATCTATCTATCTATCTATCTATCTATCTATCTATCTATCTATCTATCTATCTATCGTTGAGTTGGTTTATTGTGTGGTTTAATTCGTCAGCATCTTTGTTGAGTTTCTTTCTGGCAGTTCTATCTTTTCTTGAGAGTCGTGTACTGAAGTCTCCCAACTACTATAGTAGTGCTATTTCCGTTTTAGTTTGGTTAATGTTTGTTTTATATATTTTGTAGGTCTTTTATTTGGTGCATAGGTATATATTATTGTCATGTCCTCTTGTTCTACTGACCCTTTAAGCATTATTTAGTGACCTTCATTGTCCTTTGTGATGGCTTTTGCATTGACATTTATATTATCAGGGATTAAAATCACTATTCCTGCTTTTTTCTAGTTGCCATTTGCTTGATATATTTTTCCCACCCTTTTATTTTTAGTCTTTATCTACATTTTTCAGCTGTGTTATCTTGTAAAAAAAGCATATTGATGGATTTTGTGTTGGTTTTTTTTTAATCCAATCTGCTACTCTTTTTCTCTTCAGTGGTACATTCAAACCATTCACGTTCAGTGTGATTATTTGGAGGCAAGGTTTTATTGATAGAATTTTGTTGTGTTCTTTTTGGTGTTGTTGCTAGTTACTTTGATCCATTTTCTTTCTGTAGCATCTCTGTAAGAAGGACATCTCTCAGGGTTTCCTACAATGCTGGTCTTGTTTTTCAAGTTCCGTTAGGTTCTGTTTTTCTTGGAATATCTTGATCTCTCCTTCATATACGGTGGACAGTATTCCTGGGTACAGTATTCTTGATTGACAGTTGTATTCTTTGAGTGTCCAATATATGTCATTCCACTGTCTTGTTTGCATGGTTTCTGTAAGAAATTACCACTTAATTTTGTTTGCTCTCCCTTATAGATTTCTCTTTGTTTTTCCCTCTCTGCTTTCAGAATTCTCTCCTTATTTTTGGTTCTGGCAAATTTGACTATGATATGCCTTGGTGTTTTTCATTTGGGGTCTATTCTTTATGGTGTTCCCTCAGCTTCTTGAATATATATTCTTTCATTCTTCATTATGCCTGGAAGCTTTCCTCTAGTAATTCTTCCACAACTTTTTCGATGCCTTTACTTGCTTCTTCTTGTTCTGGGATTCTGATGATGTGCATGTTATCTCCCTTGATGGTGTCCCATATTATTCTTAGGTTTTATTCTTTTTCCTTCCTTTTGATTCTGTTTTTTTCTCTAGCAGATCAGTGGTGGCAATATTATCTTCTATTTCACTGGTTCTGTGTTCCATCTCTTCAACCCTGTTCATGTGTCATTCTATCATGTTGACAGCATCTGAAACATTGGACCTCATATTCTGGATCCTGTTTTTTTGTTTTTCCCGAGCCTCTAATACCTCATTTATTTTATCGGCATTGTTTTGGATTGTTTTTTAAACTCCTCCTGGTTTTTGCTTGCAGTGTTCTGTAATTCTTCAAGTTTTTGTTTTCACCCATTGAAAATACTCAATCAGCTGACATCGGGGTGGGGGTAAGACTGAGAAAAACTGGATGAAATATGTTTATGGCATTGAAGTCTATGGGGGAGAGAATAGTTTAAAAGTATTTTAGGGCATTATGTTTATCGTAAGAATACGGAATGAGGGTTGCAGAGTGGATTATATTTGGAGTTGGGGGTGTGGTTGGGGGATGTGTGTGGGGGATTGTGTACCAATGAGGGAGTTTTTCTTTTGCTTTTCAAGGAGAGGAGCAAATGGGGGGGTGGAGGGAGGAAGGGGGTGGGCGGGGGAGAAGGGTGTAACAATGAATGAATGGAATTCCAAAATCTCTGTAGATGTTCATTGAAATGAAAAATAAATAAATAAATTAAAATTTGAAAAAAAATAACACGTGAAGCAGCTGGCTTAGATAGTTTCGTGAATATAGATGATTGCAAAGGATAAGCCAGTCCTTCAGATAAAAGATAATGGCTATTTTAAAAAAAAGAGAAAGAAAATACTCAGTCATTGTTCTTTTAAATTCTGTGTCAGAAAGTTCCAGCAAACTTTCTGGCTTTAGGAAATCCATTCATACTGTGTCACCTTTGGGGGTGTGTATGACATCTTGCTTTGCACTTGTGTAGAGTGTGAGGTAGCCTGCTACTTATGTGACATTATTGTGGTAGAGTTTTGCATGCCTGAGGTGATGATAGGTTCTTGATCAGAAGTCATTGCTCTAGAAGAGGGTGGAGCAGCTACCCTGCCTGTGTTTCTCTCTGCACTTCTGACTCAACTGAGGTTGAGTTCAGGGCCCGTTAGAACAGCCTCTTGCTGCAGCTAAGTCAGATCAAGGTGCTCTGGATTAAAGGCAAGTTAGTTGACTGGACATGTAGGCAAGAGTGTGGGTAGAATGGGTGCTGGGCAGGCATGGGGGCAGGGCAGGCACACACAGGGACCTTACTCAGTTTCCACTTATCCAGATGGGCTTGTGTGGGGTCTTCACTCAAATTCCAGCTGTCTGGCTCTCACCCGGTGGGTCTTGCCCAGCTGGGCTCTGTGTCTGGTGGAGCTTCAGAAAACTTGGTCAAATTCCCTCTGTCCTGCTCGCTTCTGGTGGGGCAGGGGGCAGGGAAAGGTCTCCACAGTGGCTAAGCTGGCTGTTCCTGGTGGGGCTTGGCTGACGGCTCCCACCAGGGCTATGTTGGTGGCTCCCAACAGGGATAGGTTGGTGACTCCTGCCAGGGCTAGACTGGTGGCTCCCAGTGGGGTCTGTGGCTTCTGTTCCTGTGGCTCCCAAACTAATTATTTTAATAATAATTCTCAAATTCCTGTGCATTGCTCTCTGTCACTGTATGCTTTATTTTTAAAATTAAAACATATTTATACATTCTTTGTAACTAAACATACATTTTCCTAAAAGAAAAAGAAAAGAAACCTAGCTCTGTCCTGTTTTAGGAGGCCACCTTATGCCTCCACAATCACCAGCTTGGGAATTGGATAAAGGCATCCCCATGAAGTTGGGAATTCTCAATGACATGAAGATTGTAATGTGACAGGCCTTCAGTCCTAACAAAGGCAAGCATGGGACACAGGACTTCCTGCAGAGCCTGTGAAGGATCAGCACTGCAGACCACTTGACACAGGAGGCTCAGTCCTGACACCAGAAAGGGCAATCTCCCTAAGCCTCACTGACCTGAGTATAAAGGAAGCTGAAGCCTAATAGCCAAGCAGACTCTGACATGTTCACTGTCATATTTTTGTTTCTTCGAACACGGAATTCAAAAAAATTCAAACTCATTACCACCAAGTCAGGAGTGACTCCTAGCTTGCCCTCCATTGCTTTTCTGAGGCTGTAAATCACATGGGAGGAGATTGCCCATCTTTCTTCCATGGAACTGCTGGTGCATTTGAGCCTCAAGAGAGTAAAGCTTTTAGGTTAGAGCAACTCCCTATGGAGTGGGCCCCAGGGTCCCCAGAACATAAAGCTAGTCTGATGAATTATACTTGAGAAATCTCTGCAAACACCAGAGCAGCAGGAAAACCAGCTACAATTAAAGGAAGAAATGATACACACACCAAAACCTCAGTATCCTTTGGGTTGATTGTAGGTCATGGTGACAGGTTTTTTAACGGCTAAGATATGTCTGAAGCAGGTAACCAGACTTTTCTTCCATGGCATCTGGGTGGAATAATACCACCAATCTTTCGGTTAGTGGGTGAGTGCTTAACTTTTGTGCCACCCAAGGTCATTTTCCCAATAAAGCTAACTAAATGTCTAGAGCTTGTTCTAAGGAAGAAAATGCCAAATAACTACTGGAAATTTGTGAAACTGTTGCAGATTAACAACAATCTTCGACACCCGGATGAAATGACCTGGAACCATGTGTCCATGTGCATTATAAATGGAGGCAGCATTCGGTCACCCATTGATGAGCGGAACAATGGTATGTTCCTAGCTGTGAGGTCCTTACTCACTGTCTTCTCACTCTGGCCTCCTTTCTCAGAAGGCTCCCTTCCCTGCCCTTGCCAATGCCCATGAGCAGCCTCAGCTCATCTCTACTGCAAGCCTCATACCAGAGAATCATGCCCGTGACTTTGAGCCAGCTGCCACTCAAGTCTAGTGCCTAACCAAAAGGGCAGACTCAGGTTTATGTGCTCCTGTAGGTATTTATATAGAGAGGCAGCAACTAGTGCTAGTGGAAGCCAAGCAAGATGTAAAGTTTTAATTCATAAAGTAAGTAATAGTTCTTGTTGATTTATGAAAAACTATTGATAGCTTCCATTCTGGTATCTGAGAAGAGAAAAACAAAATTGCCTATACTGGAAAAGGCATACTACTATATTCTAGTGCACTTGCAAGGATCCTTGGGCATAGGGAGTTAGAAACTCCATTTATAACCAAAAGCTTAACTTCTTTGAGACTACCCAGCAGCTTCACAAGACAAAACCTGTAATTTTTTTCCACTTTTAAAAACTCTGTAATCTTTATAGAAATTACAACAATAATAAAAAATCTGCTACTAAATTATTGCAGCCTAGAAAAACCAGTTGACAGGTCTACAACTGTTACTTGGAATAAAAAGCTGAAAATTAGCTTGACCTGAAAAAATAAGAACCTTAAGAGAGTTTAAAAAATTAAAATTTCATTATGTGGCCGAAGAAATTGTAAAAACAGTGTGGTGGAGCTAGCTGACTGACCTCCTTCACAAGGGGGTAAGAAAATCCAGATCCACACCAAACAGCTGGCTGGTTCCTAAAGGTGGTGCTCAGAATGACCCCACTCCAACTTTAATTTACCAATTCTGACACCAGACATCCCTCCCATAGCTCTCTACCTCTCAATTAGGGTCAATAACTTATTGCAGTGGCCACACATAACTCACAGACTACATTCAGTTAACAAGCTTTGTTAGGGAAGTAGCAGATTACATTTCAGCACTAGAAACAACTCAGGATTCAGTTCTTCAATTAGGACAACCTAATCTCACCTGGCCCATAGGAAGGCCTCTCTCTGACCCTCAAGCTATGGGCTTCCTGGTCCTCTTGGACTAGGCCCTACCCCTACTCTGCTTAGGCAAATGTTCTGAAGCTCTTCAGCTCTACTGATAAGTGCCCAGAGTTACCCTAATCTGTCAAAAAGGCTCAGCTTGAAGGTGCCCAGCTTTCTTACTCCTTCAGTCAGGAAGCCTTCTTCCTCTGTCAACAAGTGTCTCTTCTTTGCCAGCAAATCCCCTGCCTAAGTTCCTCTTTCTCACTTTATGGGCTGAGAATCCCACTACATTGACTCTTGGTTCTACTGCTTCTATTTCTGTGTCAGTATTCATTGCTGTCTTAAGCTATATCTAGTATTACAACTCATTCGGCCTCCTTGATCTACGAGGTTCACAGCACAAGGGCCCCAGATTAAAAGGACAGCCTCCACCTGATTCTTCTTGGTATTAGTGAGGTTCCTCCCCTGCCTGCCTCTAGTATGACTCATTTTAAGCCTTGTAGGATGGCAAAACTGGATGGTTCCCTTGTAAGGGATTTATACACCTTATTTATATGCTCCTACTGGTTGGTGCTATTATGCAATCTATTGAATATTACCTATTCAATCTATATGTTGAACAAATTATTCAAGAAGTTGGACTTTATTTAGAAGAACTGTGGCATCAGGACTAAAGGAACATTCATCAACAATCTACATTATGCAAATGATACAACCTTACTTGCTGAAAGTGAAAAGGACTTGAAACTCCTGCTACGTAAGATCAGAGACTACAGGCTTCAATATACATTACATCTCAACATCAAGAAAACAAAACCTACTACATGGCAGTAATAACCAAAATAGCATCGTACTAGATAATGACAGATACACAGACAAATGGAATAGAATCTAGAACCTAAAAATTAACCCATACACGTATGGTCAACTGGTATTCAACAAGGAAACAAAACCTATCAAATGGGAATATGACAACTATTTCAACAAACTACTAGCAAACTGGACTGCTACGTGCAGAAAGCTGAAGCAGATTCCAATCTCATAACATACACAAAAATTAGTTCAACGTGGATCAGGGACCTAGGGGTAAAGCCCCAGACTGTAAAGATCATAAGAGATGACCCAGAATTTCCACTACTGGAAATATATAAAATAATCTATAACTGCCACCCAAGCAGATATATGCACAGCAGTGTTTATTGCAGCTTTTTTTCACAATAGCGAAGAGTTGGAAACAACCTAAGTGTCCATCAACAAACGAATGGATAGAGAAGCTGTGGTACATTCACAAAATGGAATACTATGCAGCCCTGAAAAAAACAAGGAACTCATGAATTATTATACAAAATGGGTGACCCTGGAGGACATTATCCTGAGTGAAATATTTCAGTCACAAAAGGACAAATATTGCATAGTGCCACTATTGTAAAACGGGACTGATATTGGGGTTGGGGGGAGACTGAAAAAGAAGGGAAAATTATCTATACTGCATTGAAACAGATGAGGGAGAGAATTGTTTAAAAGAGATATATATGTGGCTGACTCTGAGAAGAATAGGAGTCCCAGAACACTTGATCATGCTAATGCGAAACCTATACTTGGACCAGAAGGCACTTGTCAGAACGGAGCAAGGAAACACTGCATGGTTCAAAATTGGGAAGAGTGTACACCAGGGATGTGTCCTATCTCCATGACTTTTCAACCTGTATGCAGAACAGATTATCTGGGAGGCTGGGCTCGATGAGGCGAAGTGTGGCATCAGGATTGGTGGAAGATCTATCAACAATCTGCATTATGCAGATGACACAACCCTGCTTGCTGAAACTGAGGAGAACCTGAAGTGGTTGCTGAAGAGGGTCAGGGACTGCAGCCTTCAATATGGATTGAGGCTCAATATCAAGAAGACAAAGATTCTCACCTCTGGACCAATTGGCAGCATCAGGATGCTTGGTGAAGAGATTGAGATTGTAAACAGCTTTAGTTTGCTTGGCTCCACAGTCAACACTCTTGGCACCAGCAGCCAGGAAATTAAAAGATGTATTGCAATGGGAATGTCTGCAGTTAGGGACCTCTCCAATGTACTGAAGAGCAATGGTGTCACTCTGGAGCATCTGATATAGGCCATGGTCTTTGCAATCACTTGTTATGCGTTAGAGAGTTCGACAATAACTAGGGAAGATAGAAGGAGAATTGATGCCTTTGAGCTGTGATGCTGGAGAAGAATATTGAGTGTACCATGGACTACTAAGAAAACAAAGAGATTCATCCTGGAGAGGGTTAAACTGGGCTGCTCCTTGGAGGCAAGGATTCTGAGACTACATCTAACATACTTTGGACATGTTGTAAGGAGGGACCGGTCCTTGGAGAGGGACATCATACTTGGGAGGGTGAAGGGACAGCACAGGAGAGGAAGGCCTTCTATGAGGTGGATTGATTCAGTGACTGGGGTAATTGGCACAGGACAGAGTAGAGTTTAGGGCTGTTGTACATAGGGTCGCTATGAGTTGCAAGCAACTTGACAGCACATAACCTCAACAACAACATGGACGAATATGCAAATGATGGAAGAAACAAGGGAAACCAGCTAGAAAGCAAACACTCCAGAGACATGGAGCCAGAAAGAAATACATTGAAAAGGAGGAACTTGTACAACTACAGAAGAAAATGTGAAAAATGGAAGAAAGGATTGAAACTATAGATAAAGATGTACAGGAACTTAAAAAAAAAATCACGAGAGAGAGGGTACAGCCAATAGTACTGGACATAACAGAAATACATGAAAATGCAATCCAGAATATTAACACCAGAATGACAGAAGGGTCCAATATGCTGGAGGCACAAAGCAAAAATAGAACAGAAGAGACGGAACAAAGAATCAATGAATTGGAAGATAAGAACCTCAGTGGAAAACAACTAGAAGAAAAATCAGAGATGAGACGTAAAGAAAATGAAGAAAACATTAAAATCATGGAATGACATCAAAAGGAATAACATACATTATGATTTGAATTCCAGAATACAAGGACAGGGAAATCAGTGAAAAAAAAATTGTGGAAGAAGTACTATGGAAAATTTCCCTTGTATTATGAAGAATAAGGAAATCCACATACAAGAAGCTCAGCAAACACCAAATAGACTAGACCCGACATATCAAAGTCAAATTCTCCAAAATAGCAGATAAGGATAGAATACTAAAATCAGCATGAGAAAAATAGTCACCTACAAAGGAAAAGCAGTAAGATTAAGTTCTTATTTTTCAGCAGAAACCAAACCATGAGAGCAAGAATAAAATGGGATGTTATATACAGAAAGTTGAAAGAAAATAATTGGCAACTGAGGATCCTATACCCACCAGAGTTCTCCATCATATGTGATGGAGAAGTCACATCCTTTGCAGAAAAGAAAGAAGTTAAGGAATTTGTGAAAATAAGGACCAAACCTAAAAGAACTTTTAGGGAAAGTCCTTCACACAGAGACATCAAAGAAAAGTAATGGACCATAATAACAAACAGTGAAAAAAGAAACACAGCAAAATGGCAACAATAAAACCTGACCTGTCAATAATCACTCTTTTTTAAAAAATTTTATTTTATTAATTGTAATGAACATTTACAGAGATTTTAGACTTCCATTAATTGTTGCACAATAATCACTCTTAATGTGAATGGACTAAATGGCACAAATCAAGAGAAAAAGTAGCAGAATGGGTAAAAAAAGTAAATCCCATCAATATGTTATCTACAAGAGACACATCTAAGAAACAAAGATAGACTCAAAATAAAAGGCTGGAGGAAAATATACCAAGCAAATGGTACCCACAAAAAAGCAGGAGTGGCAATACTAATCTTTGAAAAAACAGACTTCAAAATGAAAACCACCACAGAAGATAAGGAAAGGCACTATATAATGATTAAAGGCACAGTAGATCAAGAAGATAGAACATAAAGATCTATGATCAAAGACAAAAATTTAAAAAAGAGTTGCTCCTAGTTGAATAAGAGACAGGTGTGCTAATGTAATGAAATGAATAATGTCACAGTCAGGAACCAAATATCTTTGAATCTTTGTCACTTTGACACTAGAGCAAAGGATTAGAATACGACTGTCCTCTCGGGGGGGGGGGGAATCTATGCACCAAATGACAGAGCTGCTAAATACATAAAATAGCTGTTAGTTTAAGAAAGAAATAGATAACACCACAACAGTGATAGGAGAATTTAACACACCACTCTCACCAAAGGTCAACTCAAAGAAACTTAAGAAAGATGCAGAAAATCGATACTACAAGCCAATTCAACCTTGTGGTTGTATTCCGAGCACTGCATCCAACTAAAACTCAGTTTACTTTCTTCTCAAGTGCACATGATACATTCTCCAAAACTGATTACAAACCAAGCCTCATCAAATTAAAAGACTTTGAAATAATACAAAGTATCTTCTCATAAAGCAATTACATAAAACTAGAAATTAACCACAAGTGGATAAAGCTTATAAAGCCACCAATGTGGAAGCTAAATAACACCTTGCTAGAACATGATTGGATTACAGAAGAAGAAAAAAACAAAAAAATTCCTTGAAACAAATGATAATGAAAATAAAATTTACCAAAACCTCTGGGATGCAGCTTAGACAGTCCTCAGGGTGTTCACAGCAATAAGCAAACACATTAAAAATGGGGAAAAAAGAAGCAAAATTAATGAATTTAACTATCTTCATCAAATAGAAAAAGAATAACACTCTAACCTCACAGCTGCTAGAAGAAAGGAAATGATAAGAACAAGAGTTGAAATCAATGAGATAAAAAAACAAAAACAATTGAAACCATCTATAAGACCAGGAACCACTTCCAAAATAAAAGGCCTTAAAAAGCCCATGTACAATAGAGCACATTTAGACTAACAGATATGGCAACTGAGGCAGAGCCCTTAAATAACACTAGTAAATTGGGAAGGGTGTACACCAGGGATGTATCCTGTCTCCATACCTTTTCAACATGTATGCAGAGCAGATTATCCGGGAGGCTGGTCTCTATGAGCAGAATTGTGGCATCAGAATTGGTGGAAGATCTATTAACAATCTGCGTTATGCAGATGACACAACCCTGCTTGCTGAAACCGAGGAGGACCTCATGCACTTGCTGCAGAGGGTCAAGGACTGCAGCCTTCAGTCTCAACTGAGGCTCAATGTCAAGAAGACAAAGATTCTCACCACTGGACCAATTGGCAGCATCAGGATGGATGGCGAAGAGATTGAGATTGTTTACAGCTTCAGTTTGCCCGGCTCCATGGTCAACACTCTTGGCACCAGCAGTCAGGAAATCAAAAATATTGTGATGGGAAAGTCTGCTGTTGATGACCTCTCTAAAGTACTCAAGAGCAACGGTGTCCCTCTGGAGACTAAGGTCTGCCTGATACAGGCCATGGTTTTTGCAATCACTTGTTATGCATCAGAGAGTTAGACAATGACTAGGGAGGATAGAAGGAGAATTGACCCCTTTGAGCTGTGGTGCTGGAGAAGAGCATTGAATGTACCATGGACTGCCAAGAAAACAAACAGATTCATCCTAGAGAGGGTTAAACCAGGCTACTCCTTGGAAGCAAGGATTCTGGGGCTTTATCTGACATACTTTGGACATGTTGTAAGGAGAGACAGGTCTTTAGAGAGGGACGACATGCTGGGCAGAGTAGAGGGACAGCACAGGAGGGGAAGACCCTCTATGAGGTGGACTGATTCAGTGACTGGGGTAATCGGGATGAGTGTGTCAGAGGCAATGCGACTGGCACAGGATAGAGCAGGGTTTAGGGCTGTTGTACATAGGATCACTATGAGTCGCAAACAACTCGACGGCACATAACAACAACAACAACAACGTACTGGAGATCCAACATCAAGCCAGGAGATCTGAAGCAAAACATAATTAACATTTTAAAATTTTTATTTTATTCTATTATTTGTGTTTGTGTACCATCAAATCAGATCTGATTGGTACAGGAGGAGATTGTCCCTCCTTCTCCAGCAGAGCATTTGGAGGATTTGAACCATGCACCTCTGGAATTGCAGTGCAGCTTCCTGCCACTAGGCCACCAGAGCTCCCTATAAACACAATTAATTTTTGAGCCACTCCATTTAAAAGCTCCCACCATCTTGCCCATTGGTGGAGGGCAGGATAGGAGGTCTTTTGAATCTACTGTCTTCCTGTCTTAAGAGTAGGTTCTCTAGAAAAGCAACAGAGACAGAGTTTTAAGCTCAGGGAAATGGCTCACACTGTGGTGGAGACTAGCAAGTCTCAAGCCCATGGATCAGATGTCAAGCTGGAGGCTTCTCCTGATTCACATAGCTCCATAGACTAAAAAACCAAAGAGCAGCCATCAAATGGCAGGCAGGCTTCTGGCTCAACGACTGTGGAGACTGGTGAATTTCCAAATGAGCAAGTAGGATGGCAGGCTCAAGTCTCAAAAACTGGAGGAGGTCAGATAATGACAAACTAGATACAGCAAACAAAAATGCTAGGATGCTTTGCCAGAAGAAATGCCCATATATATTTTGGATATAAGCTATTTCCCCAAGGAAACATTCCTTACAAGTAATAGGTTGATTACACTATGAAGTTAATTATATCTCTAAATGGAGGATAACGGTACCTTGTCCTGCCAAACTACCTTGTTATATAGTTGTCAAATCACCAAGAATCAGAGCATAGTCATTCTGAAACAGAACCTTAAACATTGTACTCCCTAAGTCTCTTGAACCATTTCCATGTAGCTAGTACTGCTCTCAAAGTATCCCTATATCCCTGAGTGATGTAGATTGTTATTCTCCTGATAACTACAAAGTTGGAGGTTCAAGTCTACCCATAGATGTCTCAGGAAAAAAGCTTGGTAGTCTATTTAAAAAACAAAAAAAACACCAAACAATGGAAACCCTATGGAGCAAGGTACACATGGAATTGTCATCAATCTGAATAGACTTAGTAGCAACTGGCTTGGTTTTTAATTTCCTCAAGACTTGAGAGAAAGTGAGATAAGGGTAAGCATTTTCTGAAACTGTTTCCTTCTTGCCTCATCTGTGACTATCTTCAGGTACAATTACTTGGGAGAACCTGGCTGCTGTATTACCCTTTGGAGGCACCTTTGACCTGGTCCAATTAAAAGGCTCTACCCTGAAGAAGGCCTTTGAGCATAGTGTCCACCGCCATGGTCAGTCCACTGGAGAGTTCCTACAGGTGGGCGGTAAGTCACTTGTGCTGCAGAAGCAGCTTGTCCAAAGTGGTAGAAGACTAGCTCTTGTTGGCTCAGCTCCCAGTCAACAAGACCTCTCATGGTTTGCTGAGGTTTACTTTCACCTGAGATAAATGCATAAACCTTTCAAAGGTTGTAAACTCCCAGATCCACTGGAGTCAACTCAGGGTCAAAGCTCCTACAATGTATGATAGATGTCAAGTCTGATATGCACTTCCGATAGAGCCTCTGCGGGAACTGGCCAAGCAGGTCAGATGTTCTGAGGGATGTGATTATGTGCCATTGAGTCTACCAGAACTAAAGCAACCCAATCTTTCCCTATCCTGTGCCACAATATCCCACATCCTAGTTTCTATTAAAATCTTAGCCTGTTGAACATACAGTATTCTTTGTTTTTTAAAAAAACAAAACAAAGTCTTACCTTTTTTGGTTTCTAATTGTGTGGAACCATGTACAAGTCCAAAGGAATGTGGTGTCCAATCAGTATTAATAAGTATGATTTATAGGAGTAATCATCAGGAATATCTGATTCCAGTGAAAACAAATCCCTCATAAAGTGTCAAGGGCTATAAAACATTCCTGTTGATATTTGACTACACAGTAGAAAGAAATAATCCTTAATGATCTTCTTTTATGCAGAAATCATATTCTCGCCTCACTTTTTAACAGCTACAGATGGTGGCCTCACTTGATTATAGTTGCTTTGCCTAGTCAAGTCCCCCTGTTTGCTGTAATGACCAACTAGTGATAAAGCCAGTGGGCCCCTGGCATTCTGAATTTTACTTTTTCCAGGAAGTCATTACAACTGTAGTGTTTAGATGCTCCAGCAAAGTAAAGCTGCATGCTTTGAAAAAGTTAGTCAGCCTAAGAGTACCACGTTGTTACTGTAAAAATCCTAACAAATGCTCTGTGTCTGCCACCTAGGTCTTGTTTCTATCACTATGGAACCAAGTTTCTAAACCAATTAATTCAAGACTTTAAATAGGAAAACCTGTAGTTTTCCCCACAGAGTCACCCTCACCCATTCTAGCCAGAGCCAGCTTTCTGTGCAGTGGTTCCTAGACCTCCCAGGACTCCAAGTCAAACCTTCAAAAACAGGTGGGCGGGGGTAGCTATAAATTTATCTCATTTGTTCTGGTGAAATGTCAAACTAAATGAAATTCAAGCCCACTGCCCCAATTCCAGATTCTGATCCCAACCTCCTTTGTTAAATAACCAAAATCTCCCTTTGAACCCAAGGGAAACATGTAAAACCCCCTCCTTTTTTTTTTTTTAATCTCATAGGGATCCATGTGGTATACGACCTTTCCCAAACACCTGGGAACAGAGTGGTCAGCATAGATGTTTTGTGCACCAAGTGTCGAGTGCCCACTTATGAGCCTCTCAAAATGGATGAAGTATACAAGGTGATCCTCCCAAGCTTTCTTGCCAATGGTGGAGATTCATTCCAGATGATAAAAAATGAATTACTAAAACATGACTCTGGTAAGTTCAAGTATCTCTTCTCCCACCTTATCTGAGGTACTCAAGAACTCCAGCACTGATCTGAGAAGGGCAGTTACTTATGGCTGTCCATCATGGCAAAGTCAGAAACCAGATCCTGCCCCAATATCAACAATTCCTTCCCTGCTTTGCATGTTAGAAAACAGAACAGCACTGGGGAGTGAATACTCCTGTCCTGGCATAAGCCATAACCATCCAACCTCAAAGCAGACTTTTACGTAAAAATATTTGAAAATCATTCAGATATAAGGACTTGTGAAATATAGATCAGTTTGTGCTTAAATGGAAATGACACATAGGTGATATTTTTAAATAATCTACAGAAGACCAAATGGTCCTCAGTTACTTTAAAGCAAAGATAAAAGGGGAGAGGAAGAAAAAAACTAGATGACCGGAAATGAAACATAAAAAAACTGAGAATCTGGAAGCATTGTAGAAAAGGTAACCACGATCTCCAAACAATTTGTGGTGCTGGTGGTGTTGACTGGCCTGCAAGTCGAGCATAACTCATAGTGACCCTATGAACAAAAGGCCTGAAGCCCCTCTACAACTACTGACATTTATCAAAGTTCATAGTTTCCAGAGGCATGTTATTTAGGAAGTGGATGCTTCTCCTGCTTCCAAACCTGTCATAGTATGTTATTATTGTTAAGTACTAAATAGGAACCTAATTTGTTGTGTAAACTTTCACTGAAAACATGTAAAATGCAGGTACTGCTTGACTTACAATGTAGTCAAGTTATGATAAACCATACCATTTTGGGGCACAGTTCACCTTCAGCAGTATTTACCACATACAATTTTAAAATATATCTAATATATTAATATTAATCTAATATATTAATATATACCATGTTCCCAATCCCCAGAGACAAATAAAGATTAGATTTCTAAAAATACTTATGATTAAAAGAAATAATGATGAAAACTAAAAAAAGAAAGTTATTCAGCTTATATCAAAACTTACTCACTATGGAGTTACTAGTTTTATCTAGCATGTTATGTCAGGTAGGCATGGATAGGATATGCCTCCTTTTTCAGCATACTGGGTAGGTATGTTATTGTTGATGATAAGTACCATCAAGTTTACCTCATAGCTCAGCTCATAGCTACCCAGTGAAAAAGGCTGAAATCTTGCCCATCCTGCAATTATAAAATGGACCATACTTAAACAAATCTCTATTTTCAGCAACACTGAGGGTCACCATAGGGCACATTTCTTCTTACTCTCTCCCACCATGTGTACAAGGCACACACACATGTGGTTCTCCACATCGCGATGAGGAAAATCCAACAGGTTCTTCCTAGCCTTACCATGATGGGTTTGCAATTTTAGCAGCTAATTCCAAGAATGGGAGAGGGTAAAGCCAGGCCAAAGGAATCAGCCCTTCCTGATAGGGCTCCTTCTGTCCATCTCATTATGGAAGATAGAAAGGCAAGCTTAAAAGAGTGTTCTAAGTGTCCTCTCTAGATGAAGATGCTGATGTTGACATCAGTTTGCACTGCTTCGCTCACTCAACCTCAGATGGATGAGTTTGGGGAAGAAGCTCACAGACAGAAGAGCTCTCAACCCTGGCTGGTACATTTGAATCTCTGGAAGAATATCTTCAAGAAAATGAGAATACTTCAGCCTCAACCCTTGTTGTTGTTGTTATGTGCCATCGAGTCGCTTGCGACTCATAGCGACCCTATGTACAACAGCCCTAAACTCTGCTCTGTACTGTGCCAATCACACCGTCTCTGACACTCCCATCCCGATTATCCCAGTCACTGAATCAATCCACCTCACAGGGGGCCTTCCCCTCCTGCGCTGTCCCTCCACCCTCCCAAGCATGATGTCCTTCTCCAAGGACCAGTTTCTCCTCACAACATGTCCAAAGTATGTTAGATGGAGCCTCAGAATCCTTGCCTCCAAGGAGCCACCCGGTTTAACCCTTTCCAGGATGAATCTGTTTGTTTTTCTAGCAGTCCATGGTATTCTCAATACTCTTCTCCAGCACCACAGCTCAAAGGCATCAATTCTCCTTCTATCCTCCTTGGTCATTGTCCAACTCTCTAATGCATAGCAAGTGATTGTGAAGACCATGGCCTGTATCAAACACACCTTAAGTCTCCAGAGAGACACCATTGCTCTTCAGTACTTTGGAGAGGTCCCTAACAGTAGACTTTGGCATGGCAATGTGCCTTTTAATTTCCTGGCTACTGGTGCCAAGAGTGTTGACTGTGGAGCCAAGCAAACTAAAGCTGTATACAATCTCAATCCCTTCACCATCCATCCTGATGCTGCCAATTGGTCCAGTGGTGAGAATCTTTGTCTTCTTGACATTGAGCCTCAATCCATATTGGGGGCTGCAGTCCTTGACTCTCTGCAGCAGGTGCTTCAGGTCCTCTTCAGTTTCAGCAAGCAGGGTTGTGTCATCTGCATAACGCAAATTGTTGATAAATCGTCCACCCATCTTGACCCCACATTTCTCCTCATAGAGCCCAGCCTCCCGGATAATCTGTTCTGCATATAGGTTGAAAAGGTATGGAGATAGGATGCATCCCTGGCGTACGCCCTTCCCAATTTTGAACCATGCAGTGTTCCCTTGCTCTGTTCTGACGACTGCCTCCTGATCCAAGTATAGGTTTTGCATTAGCATGATCAAGTGCTCAACCCTTAAGACATTCTAATCAAAGCAGAGCCTAATCACTGATAAGTCTTAAAAATCTCCAGTGATTTTGACAGCCAAAACCATTGACATAATTTTTGAGAGTGATGCTTTAAAATGAAATTATTTTGGGTCTTCATGAGTTTGTTGTAGTTACGGCAATTAGGATTTCTTACCTGTTGGAAATGAAGCCTCTATCATCCCATCATCAGTTATACAAAAACATTCTTGAGCAGGCAAGAAAATCGAAGCCCCTTTCCCCTCAACCCTTGTTCTTGACCCAGTTCCCTAATGCCCTAGTTCAGACTACCAATATCAACAGCTTCTTCCTTGAATCATCTTGAGGGCAGTAGTGAACATGCACACCTCATGATGTTGTTGCTGTTGTTGTTATGTGCCGTCGAGTCGCCTGCGACTTCATAGCGACCCTATATACAACAGCCCTAAACTCTGCTCTGTCCTGTGCCAATCACACTGTCTCTGACACTCCCACTACAATTATCCCAGTCACTGAGTCAATCCACCTCATAGAGGGCCTTCCCCTCCTGCGCTGTCCCTCCACCACTTCAAGCATGATGTCCTTCTCCAAGGACCGGTCTCTCCTCACAACATTTCCAAAGGATGTTAGATGGAGCCTCAGAATCCTTGCCTCCAAGCACACCACATACCAAAAGGAAAATTCTTTGCTCATAGAATCACTACTGATCTTGTTTCCTACAGCAATTTATCTCTGCTTATGAAAGGAATGCCTTTAGGGACTTTAGTGAAATGTATATGTTTCCTCTCCCACCCTCATTGTTAATTAAGAATTATTTTCTCTGTGGTTAAAATAACCTATGTATTTTTCTAGGTGACCAAGATATCAATGTGGTTTCTGAATACATCTCAAAAATGAAAGTAGTTTATCCAGCAGTAGAAGGTCGGATCAAATTTTCTGCGGGAAATTATTGCCAAGGAAGCTTTTTTCTATTATCTCTTTCCATTTTGGCAGTGAGTCTTGTTTTTTACCAGTAGTCAAAATTTCTCCCTGCTACTAATGTGTGAACCACATTTTTTGTAAGTGAGGTTGCAGTCTGCCTTTTAGAGCCTGCCTTTGTGGTAATATTGAACATCTTGCAGGGTCCTCGAGGCTGAACTTTACAGCACTGTAAAAAAGAACTCAAGGCCAACAACTGAGACAAGAAGACAGAGGAAAATTAAATCAGAACCTCATGAGAGGAAGACTGTATTTCATTCACATACCCAGATTTTTATAAAACTATGTTAACTATTTAAAATGATAGCCTTTTTCTCCTCTAGATATTCTAATCCCTCAAACAACTCTGTTTACATAGAATTTTATAATTTACAAAGGGTTTTTAAGCAAGTGTACGTCACAACTTGGTAGTTAAGGCAGGTATTGTTGTGCCCATTTTGTTACAGGTGAGGAAATTGAAGCTCACAAGAAGCTGACTGGGTCATACCTGAACAGCTAAATGTCTCTGACCTCAAGTACAGTCAGTACTCTTTCTCCAACACTCCCAAGTTGCTGTACAGAATGATACTTAAGAGTCTTCTCTTTTTTAACTACCAGTGGCCCCAGCCTATGAATGAGAAATCTCTGCTTAATATCTGGTTGGTTTTTGTTTGTTTTGCTTTTAGCTCCTATTGTTACAGTGTTTTAGAACATATCATCCATGTACCTTTGATGAATTTTGTGCAGCAAATAATGAAAATGTCCAGAGAAAAGGCAAGAAGGAACAAACAGGATACTCAGGACAGACTCACTAGAAAGAAAAAAGCTAAAGAACATTTAGATATTCTTTAAGTATTTGAGAAGGAATAGAGGCAGCATCTAACATTTATTAGCAGTTATTAAGTTCCTAATTTCTGTTAACTCTCCTCTGTGCTCTTTCCTCGCTTGTTCCTAAAATGAAAATGATAAAGCGACCTTCTAGAATGACCTGTAACTGGAGCTCAGAAAAAGCCATGTGCAGTCCTGAACAATTAAAACTTGACTTGGACCTAGGTCTACAGACCTCAAGTCTAGCACACTGTCCTCAACATACAGCTGTTCAAAATTATACTTCTAGTTTCCTCTTCTCATAAATATTAATAGCCCTGCACTGGCCACTGCCAATGATTCCGACTTATCAAATGGCAAAGGAAAATACTATTTATTCTGGATTACACCAAATTCAAATAATAGTAAATCCAGGGAAGAGATGAGCATTGCTTTTAGGAAGTGATACACCCAAGATATTTGAAGTCAGCTCTGCCTGCAAATCTTGACAATTGCTTTAATTCATTCTCAAGGGAAGGAGCCTTAATCATTTACTCATTCTTGACAATCATTTTCAATTCAGCTCCTGAGCAGCATGTTCAGGAAATACACAAACTAGTGAAATGATCAATAAGCAAACAACAGCTGAAATTTGAAGAGGAAGTGTGTTTTTTAGTGTTTACATATACTAAATATTGATAAAAAAATACACTTCTAAATTTCAAAATCTTCTTACAAAGGTTATGGCACTAAAATAATGTCTTTGGTTTTATGCATAGATATAATAGAAATAAATGCCATTAAATTTTTTTTGCCATTAAAATTTTAAGAAGTGAAAGCTTTACAAGGTTCATTTGGATTTTTTTTTTTTAATGTTTGGCCAGCAAAACACAATACATCCTACTGAAGCACAAGTTTTTCAGTGATGACATTTTTTAAGTTTTCTAGATATGTATATATGTTTTATGTAGTGGTACTGAAAATCACTTTAAACAATTTGAAAAGATTCTAAAGAATAAAATTGGTATCTCTTTGGTCTCTTGGTAGTTATTTCTTTAGTCAGGCCAATACTTATAATCTAATAAAAGATAAGAAAAGTTGTTTGACAAATTACTGATAGAATTTTGAATATAACCTTGATCATAACTTATCTGAGCACTTGTTACCCCCCCAAAAAAAAAGTGAAAAGAAAAATGCATGCAGTTTTTAGATAGAAAAGTGATATATTTTAAGGAAGACTACTAAATTTTCTGGTTACAGTACACAGAATATAATGCAGAAACATACTAGTTTCACAAGAAACTATTTTTATTCTATCTTAATCAACCAGACATATCTATTCCATTTGGTAGCAATGCTGCTTTCAGCAGTTTGCCCCAAAGCGGAGGATTATTGTTCTTCAGTGCTGTCAAATTGAGTACAACTCCCAATGACCCTAGGAACATCAGATCTGAACCGTCTGATGCTGTGTAATACTTGTCATCTGACACACTTGCACGTACTACTGCAGTTACTGACATTCTATCTTGTTGAGGGTTTTCTTCTCTTACACCAACTCTTTACCTTTCCTTGCTTTGAAGGAAATGGCAAAAAATAAGGCTCCAGGAATACATGGTATACCAACTGACATATTTCAGCTAACAGATGCTGCCCTGGATGTGCTCACCAAGTTGTGCCAAGAAATCTGGAGAACAACCACTTGGCCAAATGACTGGAAGAGATCTGTATTTGTTCCTATCCCAAAGAAAGGTGACCCAACAGAGTGTGGAAACTATAGAACAATCTCACTGATTTCACATGCAAGCAAGATTTTACTGAAGATTATCCAAAAATGACTGGAACAGCACATCAGCAGAGAACTACCAGAAGTCCAGGCTGGGTTTAGAAATGTGGTACTAGTGATATTGTAGCTGATGTTAGAGGGATCTTAGCTGAAAGCAGAGAATACCAGAGGAATGTCTATCTGTGTTTCATTGACTATGCAAAGGCATTTGACTGTGTGGATCATAACAAACTGTGGCTGACTCTGAGAAGAATGGGAATCCCAGAACATTTAATCGTGCTAATGCGAAACCTATACTTGGACCAGGAGGCAGTCGTCAGAACAGAGCAAGGGAACACTGCATCGTTCAAAATTGGGAAGGGCGTACGCTGGGGATGCAGCCTATCTCCATACCTTTTCAACCTATATGCAGAACAGATTATCCGGGAGGCTGGGCTCTATGAGGAGAAATGTGGGGTCAAGATGGGTGGACGATTTATTAACAATCTGCGTTATGCAGATGACACAACCCTGCTTGCTGAAACTGAAGAGGACCTGAAGCACCTGCTGCAGAGAGTCAAGGACTACAGCCCCCAATATGGATTGAGGCTCAATGTCAAGAAGACAAAGATTCTCACCACTGGACCAAGTGGCAGCCATCAGGATGGATGGTGAAGAGATTGAGACTATACACAGCTTTAGTTTGCTTGGCTCCACAGTCAACACTCTTGGCACCAGTAGCCAGGAAATTAAAAGGCACATTGCCATGCCAAAGTCTGCTGTTAGGGACCACTCCAAAGTATTGAAGAACAATGGTGTCTCTCTGGAGACTAAGGTGCGTTTGATACAGGCTATGGTCTTCGCAATGACTTGTTATGCATCAGAGAGTTGGACAGTGACCAAAGAGTATAGGAGAATTGATGCCTTTCAGCTGTGGTGTTGGAGAAGAGTATTGAGAATACCATGGACTGCTAGGAAAACAAACAGATTCATCCTGGAAAGGGTTAAACCGGGTGGCTCCTTGGAGGCAAGGATTCTGAGGCTCCATCTAACATACTTTGGACATGTTGTGAGGAGAAACTGGTCCTTGGAGAAGGACATCATGCTTGGGAGGGTGGAGGGACAGCGCAGGAAGGGAAGGCCCTTCAGTGACTGGGATAATTGGGATGGGCGTGTCAGAGACAGTGCGACTGGCACAGTACAGAGCAGAGTTTAGGGCTATTGTACATAGGGTCGCTATGAGTCGCAAGCAACTTGACGGCACATAACAACAACAGCAGCATACCTTTCCTAGAATGATGTCCCTAAGGAATAGGCCTTTCTAACAACATAACCAAGATTTATGAGATGAAGCTTCACCATCCTTGCCTCTAAGGAGCACTTTTCCCCAAGATATATCAGTTTGTTCTTATGGTACTCTGAATATTCAGTGTTCTTCATCAACACCACAACTCAAAGGCATCGATTCTTCTTAAATCCTTATTCACAGTCACAGCAAGTGACTGAAAAGATCATGGGCCTGAATTAGGCACTCCTTGGTCTTTAAATTGACATCATTGCCCCTCAGTAATTTGGAAATATCTCTAAGAGGTGCCTTTCTCAACTCAGTATGTTTTTTCTTGTCTGTGGTGTCAACGGTGGATTCAAGACAGATCCAAAAAAAATGAAGTAATTGAAAATTTCAGTCTTTTCTCCATTATCATGTTGCTGCCTAATGACCTACTGGTGAGGATCTTTTTTTTTCTTGACAATGAGATGTAATTCATATTGAAACCTGCAGTCTTTGATCTTCTGCAGCAAGCATATCATGTCCTCTTCACTTTTCAGCATGCAAGATTGTGTCACCTGCATAACTCAGGTTGCTGATGAGTCTTCCCCCAATCCTGATGCCACATTCTTCACAGAGTCAAGCTCCTCTAATGATTTGCTCAGCATACAGATTGAAAATATATGGAGAAAGGATACAATCCTAAAGCACTTTCCTTGATTTTAAATCATGCAATGTTCCTCCTTCATTAAAATAACAGCTTCTTGGTCTAGGTATAGGTTTCATAGGAGTATAATTACGTTTTCTGAGGTTCCCATTTTTCTCAGTGTTAAACTTGGTATTCATAGTTGCATTAGCCAGTTGGCATTCAAGTCTATCCTCAAGTACAAGATTGTGAGTGATAGGATACTACACGTGTGTAAAAGAAAGATTTGTTAATATAACTATTATTTCTACTATATGTACCAACAGGTACAGTCAAAAAGGAGGATATTCAGGATTTCTACCAACTTTTGCAATCCAAAATTAACCAAATGAGTAATCAAGATACATTGATAATAGTTGGTAACAGGAATGCAAAAGTTGATCCATCCAGCGTAGGCTTGACTTTATTGTAGTTAGGTGCCATTGATTAAGACTGCTAGTGATTCTATGAACAAAAGATCTGAACTTTGTTTCCTTCTCCAAGGAATAGCCCCAGTCAGCAACACGCCCAAAGTATG